TTATTGTTGTTTTCATTTCACACACCAACTGCTGTTGCTCTTTACCCACATATCTGTAGTTCATCCCCCTGCGGGGTGGGGTGGGGGTTAATGTGTTGATCATTGCGATCAGTTTCCCCTTCCTTCCCTCCTCCTCCCCCCTTTCCTTTCCCCTCCAGGTATCGCTAGCTACTCCCATTTCTGTTCCTGAAGTGTTTATCTGACCTGGATTCCTTATGCCGTGAGCTCTTATCTGTACCAGTGTACATGCTCTGGTCTAGCCTGAACTGAAAGGCAGGACTGGGGTCGTGATAATGGTGGGTGAGGAAACCTCAAAGAACCAGAGGAATATTAGGTGTTTCATTGATATTATACTGCACCATGGTTGACGTGTCCCTTCCTTGTGACCTCTTTTGTGAGGGTTGTCCTATTGTCTACAGATGGGTTTTGGGTCTCGGCTCCAATCCCCCTTGTTCTCAACAATATGTTTGTTTTGCTTTGAGCCTTCTGGTGCCTGTTACCTGATTCCATCGACTTCTCATGATCACACAGGCTGGTGTGTTTCTTCCATGTGGGCTTTTTGCTTCTCTGCTAGATGGTCACTTGCTTAGCTTCAAGCCTTTAAAACCTAAGATGCTATATCTGATAGCTGGGCACCTTCAGCTTTCTTCACCACATTTGCTTATGCACCCATTTTGTCTTCAGTGATTGATCATGTCAGGAGGGTAAGCATCACAGCATGCCAGGTTGTTAGAACAAAGTGTTATTGTGCTGAGGGAGGGCTTGAGCAGAGGCCCAAATTCCATCTACTTCCTCAATGTATTGCCATATACATATATGTACATGTACCTCTATTTTTATGAATATATTTACAGTGTGATGGTGGGGCAGGAGGAAGGTAAAAGAAAACGGAGGAAATATTTAGGAATCAAAGCTATGGACAGAGGCATTAACATAGGTTGTGATAAGAATTGTATGAGCCCCCAATAAAATGATTCAAAACAAAACAAAGCACGTGCATTCCTGAAGACTAATTTCTTGAAGCCTTTTAATATCCCAATTTCCTCAATCATCTAGGCTATTGGAATATTTAATATTTTAGTATATGTGCTGTTGAAGTGAATATTGAATATTTAATATTAAGTATCTCATTTCTTCCCAAAATAAGAAAAGTTTTAATCAGCATCACATCTAACTAATCATTCTTAAGAAGATTGCCATGCCAATTAATATATAGTGATCATAATCTTCAACAGTTGGATTCTTCCATAAGTACTCAGCACTTAAGCACAAACCAAATTTGAAAGCTGATAAAATGATTTCTTTGGGGGAGATATTTTATAACACAATCCAACTACTCGCTGGTGTGAAATAGGCTAGAATGATGAACAATAAAATGGAAAATGAGGTAGTGCTGACGAGCCTGTAGCTTGGCCACCTTGTTCTTCAGCAGTGTATGGAGATCTGCTAAAGAAATGTGCACTACACAACACAGGGTAGGGAGAGTAGTTTGTTTATATTTAAAATAAAATGGAGTCCCTGGGAGGTACAAATGGTTAATGATCTTGCTATTAACCAAAAAGTTGCAGGCGCTTCACATCCTGCCACAGGTGCCTCAGAAGACAGGCCTGGTGATCACCTTCTGAACAATCTACCCTTGAAAGGAAACCATACGGGGCATAGTTGCGCTTCAACACACAGGGGTCACCAACAGACTCCGTGGGAGCTGGTTTGGCTTAAGTTTTATCATTCAGGTTTAATCCCTAAGGAGATTTAATTAAATTCCATTGGGTAAAAATGAATGTGATGCTATTTCCCTTGTTCTTTAAAATGACCTCATTCTCCCACTAAAAAAGAAAAAGAACAGTCGTTACCCAGCTAATAGGACCCTTAGTAGCATAGTGGGTTATACTTTGGGCTGCAAGCCCCACAGCCAGCAGTTTGAAACCACCAGCTACTCAGTGGGAGAAAGATGAGACTTTCTACTCCTGTATAAATGTCATACAGCCTTGTAACCCACAGGAGCGGCTCTACTCTGTCTGAGAGGGATGCTTTGAGTCAGAATCAACTCGATGGCGGAAAGTGAGAGCGTGTTCAAGCTGATCCTAAGTTGTGGTAACTGCTCTGTAGGATTTTCTTTGCCTGATTTATTTTTGTGGGAGACTCTCCCCTTTTGGTTAGCAGTGGGTGTATTAACCATTTACATCATTCAACGCCTCAGTTAATTCCAAAAAAACCAATTCAGATAGGAACACCGAGAAACTAGAAAGCATTGATAGAGACAAACCATTCCCATAAAATTCATTATGGGAATGAATTAAAATTAAAATGAATTAAAATAAAAATTATTTATCATTTTTATTCTCTAGAATCATATTAAATGTTTAGGGAGCTCCACAAGTTATGTTTCAACAAGAGTTTTACACTGACTTGTGTGGGGAAAAAATCAGTTTTGAAGTAGACAAAGACAAAATCGTATCTGCATAATTAGGAAGAAGGCTGATTGCCCTTTGGCTGCCTGCTGCACTCCACATGGCATCCAGACCTTTGTGCTAGCAAGGGTACCGTGCTGGAGGGCAAACTGCCCAAGCAGCCACTTGTCCCACAGGGGAGCGAGATGAATATGGGACACAAACGTCAGCCACGTAGTCTCTGTTTAAATTCCACTATTGTGATGTTGGGAAAATTACTTAACTCTGCTGCATGTCAATTTCCTCATCTGTAAAATAGGATTTGCCAAACCCAAGCCAAACTCACTGCCTTGGGTTTACTCTGACTCACATGGTTGATTATTCTACAGTCTGCATGCCTTCCTTATGTAACTGTTTCCCTTATAGACTTGTCAATGGTTTAGCTGAAAATTGTGCCACGGGGGTGAGTTCAGTTCCATACCTGAAGGGTGCCCAAGGGCCAGAGTCTCCGAGGTTCTACCAGTCTCCATTCGATCAGTCAGTCTAGTCTTTATGTTGAATGATTTTGAGTTTTGTTCAGTCTTTCTTCCTCTCTATCCAGGACTTTCTAATGTGATCCCTTTGAAAGCGATCATAGCCGAGCACCCTCTAGTTCTGCTCTCAGAGTCAGGAGACTGAGGTTTACCCTGCTGACTCATCTTGATCCTTTAGGACAGAGTAGAACGACTCCATCGGGCTTCCAGGATTTTAGCTCTTTGTGGTGGCAGAGAGCAGGTGCAAACAGGTGGGTTCCAACCACTGATCGATGGCGAGTAGTCCTGTGCTTAATCCACTGCACCACCTGAGTTTCCTTTCACTTCCTTAGAGGGGGGCTTTCTGATGAGCTGATCTAAAGTCGCAGCATCTCTTCAACACCAACAGCACATGCTCACCCCTTAACATTTTTCTTCTACAACAGAGTAGACCTGTCCCACAGGGCATCTAAGACTGGGAAGCTTTGTGAAGCAGATGGATGCATCTTTCTCCCATTGCAGTAGCTGGAGTCTGAACTGTTGGTCTTTCAGTTAGCAGTTGAGTGCGTAACCAGTGTACCACCAGGGCTCTGTTCTCACCCCTCACTCTGCATCATTCTCCTCCACAGCATGTGTTGCTACCTGAGACATGTTCGCTTACTATCTCTATTCCCATTAGAATGTAAACTCTGAAGCGCAAGCACCTATTTTTCCGTGACTGCACACCCATACTTAGAACAGGGCATGGGATTTGGTCGGCATTTGATAAGTGCTATCTTAATAAGTGAGCTGATGGCTTACAATAAAGAAATCATCTTCGTTGGCGTCAGGCTTCCTCGTGTTGTTTCTCAGTGACAGCCACTCTATGGACAACAGAACAAAGCTCAGCTCTGCTCAGAGTCCTTGCTGCAGTTGAGCCCATGCCGGCAGCCATTGCGTCAATCCAATTCCCTGAGCGTCTTCCTCTTTGTCCCTGACCTCACTGACCCTTTCCTACACCAAGCCTGGCGTCCTCCTGGGACTGGTCTTTCCTGATAGCCTGTCCAAAGTGTGTAGACTAAGCATAGACTTCCTCACTTCTAGGGAACTTTCTGGAGACACTTCTTCCAAGACAGGCTTGTTGTTCCGTTAGTCTCTGATATATTTAATATTCTTCATCAACACTATAACCCAAAGGTAATGATTCTTCTTTGTCTTCTTTATTCATCATCCAACCTTCACATGCAGATGAGACCGTTGAAAGCACTGTAGCTTAAGTCACCTGCACCCTACTTTTCAGAGTGACGTCTGATATTTTGCAGCAACTTTGCCCAATACAATATGTTATTTGATTTCTTCCAATGCTGCTCCCATGAGTGTTGGCTGTGGGTCCAAGATGAAATCCTTGAAAACTTCAATATTTTCTTCATGTATTACGATGTGACTTAGGAGTTCAGTTGTGAACTGCGGCCCTCCCCACGTGTACTGAGTTGTAAGCTTAGTAAGTGCTTCAAGTCCTCCGGCTTTCAGCAAGCAAGGCTGTGTCATCTTTTCACGAGCCTTCCTCCAACTCTCATGCTGAGTCCTTTGTGGAGCCCAGATTTTGATATTATTTGTTCAGCATACAGATGGAATATAATCAGTGAGAGCATATGCCCGGGAACACACATATTCAGATGTAAACTTCACAGTATTCCCTTGCTCGGATTGAACAACTCTCTCTTGGTCTACGCACATCTCCGAAGAGAAATATTTCAGGTGGTGTGGCAAGTATAAGTATTTTAGACACAGAGGGTATCTTGGGGCCACGTATCATAGACTACTGTTTGCTCCACCTGCGAAGACAGAGATCGTCGCCTCTGTGTCCCCACTCTATTTTATGTAGTCCTTCATTAGAATACACCCTACCTCCTGCTCTGAGCTACCTGCTATGGGCTCGCTCGCTACTCCATCTTAAGGGCCTCAAGTGCAGAAGCCAGTCCTGCTTATCACAGTTCTCATAGATATGTGTTGACCAAAGGCGTAAGGTGGGTGTTGCTGTGAATTGTCTTACAGTCTGTTTATTACAAATATAAGAAATAAAGTAGATGCTGGAGTAACTTTTCTATTTTTTTTACAGATGAAGACGACACTCTGATGTGTTTGAATTCAGATGAAGTTCTACCAATGGCTCTAATGGAAACCAAGAACCAAGAAGGTTTAAACTATATGGTCCTAGCTACAGAAAGCAGCCAAGGTGAACCAAATGCAGAGGGTCCTCTAGGCTCCCAGGAATCTGAGTCGTGTGGTCTGGGGAAAGAAGAGAAAGAACCACACCCAGCCTGCCAAGAAAAACAAGTGGCTTGCTGCCCTTCTGGCAAGCCTGAAGGCCTGAACTATGCCTGTCTCGCTCACAGCGTGTGTGGAGATGGGTCCAATTAAAGGCTCAGCTTGGGAAATCAGAGTTAAGATAAACACTCCCATTAAGTAGTTGCTGAACAAAAACCATAGAAGAATGCTAGGTGTTGTCTATGACTCCAAACGGACATTGGAAAAGTGGAGAATTTTAATCTTGGTTCTAAGATTCATTTGGGGTCCACTAAGCCAGTCTCCAAACCAACTGCCTAACTTTCAGAAGAATTCTTAGATGAACCACCAAGTTGATCTTAAGGAGAAAGTTTAAGGAGACCCACACATCTGAAAGAGCAAACTCTTTTTCGCCTCTTAGCTTGAGATCCATCTCCATCTAGTAGCTGTTGCCTTCTTGTCGAATGTGGTCATGCAAACATCTTGGCTACCGACAGAAATAAGTCTACTCAGGGCTCTGCAGGAAGGGGATGAGGCGCGTGCTTAGGGGGCCAACTGAGCGACAGATTCTCCCAGAGGAATCCAGAACTGGAAACCAAAACAAACAACTCTACACTTACACAGAAATCATTCTGAAATGTATTACTACCATAATATGTGACCTTCAATCACTACTTACTCTGAAATATCATTGTTTTATTTTGGAGGACTGAAATGGCAGCTTCACTGATACTGAAAATAGAACCATAATGATCTCTAAGTGCTAAAGTTTAGTGTAGCACATTTTGGGTTGTATACAAATCTCTCATGACTTGTGTGCTATTATGGAAATTACCTAGTACACAATATTACTTTCATATGCCATATAAATTTTATAGATCAAATATTTAAACTTATATTTAGCATGAATTATCCTTAAAATGAAATAGGCGACTATATAATTTTAATTCAAGGTATGTGTTTTTGAAGTACACAAAATAATACATAAATTAAAATTATTTTTAAAATTCTTCAGAGAAACACAATGACTTTGACCAATAGATCTTTCTTTCTTTTTTGTGGTTACCTAATGAAACCTTTAGAAAAAGACAAGGCTTTCTACTCTCATAACAAGTACCAGGTTGTCCACTGCCTTAGAGAGTTGCAGCCTGGGAAATCCCCAGGGACCGTTCTCCCCTGCCCTCTGGGGTTTTTGTGAGTCAGAACGGACTCGATACTTATAACTGAAACCTTAGGGCCCCCTCCTCTCTAACGGGACCACTAATAAAGCAATCCACGTTCCGTTCAAGGGGCAGCATTCAGGTGCTGGCTAGAGAGAACCCAAACCCAACTCACCGTCCTCGTGTCCATTCTAACTCACAGCGACCCTATAGGACAGGGTAGAGAGAGCTGCTTCTGTGGGTTTCTGAGACTAACTATGGGGGTGGAACGCCTCAGTCTTTATTTTGAAGGTGGGCTGGTGGTTTCAAACTGGTGACCTTGAGGTTAGCAGTCCAACGTGTAACCACTGCCCAACCAGAGTTAAGAACAGTTTCATTAACACATTTTCTAAACACTGCTGTGGAAGAGGATTGTGTAAGTTTCTCTCCCTGGGGAAACTTAGTTCATCTTTTCCTGGTTTACCACCTGAGAAGCCACACAGGTGAGCGACTGTCTGGTGAGAAACAGGGAGAAGGGGCCGGGGGATAATGTTCTGTGGTGAGTAGGCTCCAAGTACAGGTGCCATCATGCGGCCACTTTGCCATACCTGATGTTACACTGAACAAGGGTGCATATATTTTCCCCTGAACTCCTGCCTCTTGAATGGGAATTTTTATTATTATTTTGATAGCCTAGCCTATGATACCTCTTGTAGTGTTGGAGAATTCCTCCATCACTTAACGTCTGGGGAGGAGCCAGGTTCCACTTGCTTCTCCAGGGTCGCTTGCAGCACACACCTACTCTGGGCTTTTAGTTGAGAACTAGAGAGGCAAAGAACTAGGAATCATGGTGAATCTTCTCTGGTGACAGGGAAGACAGGGCCACTGGAGGCAGTGGTGCAGGAAGTGGCAGCCAGAGTCTGCACCCGGTAGCGTCTCATACCTGTGGTGGGCAGACTGAGTCAGTTCTCCTGTCTACTTCTAGCCATGACTCCCACTCAAGTTGGTGCCTCCAGTCTTCCAAGTGAATCCGTGAGTTGCCACCAGACCTTTCAATAAATGATTTTATTTTAAAACAGCTAAAGTCTGTGGCTTGTGACGAGGTTCCTTGCTCTTGTGGTAGTTATATAATTGTTTGCCAATTTGAGACAATTAAAAGTGAAGGAGTGGAGTCTAGCCTGTCAATCAGGTCATAGCCAATGAATGAGGCCTCTGTGTGGGCATGGCCTTCTCCTGAGGATTCTGGGAACTCCAGTATTCCTTCTTAGAGATGGGAGACAGACTCTCTCTCAGATCAGTCCCCGGGAGACACTGCAGTTGACAAAACACATCCAGAGAGGCTGATGGCAGCCAGAGTCTCCGAACTGGAGAAGCCAAGTGGAGACCCCTGGCAGCGCTGAGGTACTTACAATGCCACTGGATCCACAAGACGTCTCACCCACAGGACTGTGATCTTCCTGCATT